AGCCTTTGAGCTTTTGTCTTGGCTTCCCTTTTTATGGCTGCAAGGGGCTGCTTGAAGCTTTGTGGTGTTGTGATATAATTCTCCCCCCAGTACAGAGAGAGGGGGAAATGCCCAGGGGTGAGGTACAGCTGCATCACAGCTTGTGTCTACCGCACCTTGGTAGACCAACTCACACAGACTAATTGCAGCAAAATGGATCACTACAAAGCAAGGTCTACATTTAGTAGGTTTTGGTAGTACAGCTATACCAGCATGCTACAGGGGCAAAGTATCCTTCCTCTTGGCACCGCTTATACCGGCCACACCGCACGTATTTCAGTTTCCTCCCCCAAGGAAAATAAGCTCTACCCCCACCCCTGTATCTATACTAGGGTCTTTTGCTGGCCCAACTTGCTCAGGGAATCACACCTCCTCTCATCGCTGACTGTGACAGCTGCGACAGCAAAAGTTTGCAGTGTAGACACAGCCTCTGGATTGCACTGCACTTGGGTACTGCACAAGGGCGTGTCTACATTTGGGATAACGGATTGTCAGTTAACTCAAGGGAGTTAACACATTTGCAAAGACCAGCCTGGACGTTCTGCAAACGTTTGTGCCTTACCCTAGGCAGAAGCCAGGAAAGTTAAGGAGGAGGAATGCTGCAGCATCACTGCAGGGCAAGGAAGGTCTACTACACCTTACGGTCACAGCTACCACAGAGCTTTGATTTGCCTTTATGTTTCTACAGGGAATTCAGTGCTGGCAACAGGTGCTGGGGTGAAAGCAATGAGCCCACACCCCGATGGGCCAACATCTGGCCACGGCTAGAACGAGGGATATTTAGGAAGGAAAACAGGGGGACAGTTTTTAACGTACTGAAACACTGAAGTGGGGGAGCCATTGAAAGAACTGGGGCGGGGACTATGGCAACTGCTTGGCTCCAAAACAGGAACTGTCCCCCCATAAATAATCCAGGGGGCAGGCAGAATACAGGCTGTGGCCGGGCTGAGCTCCCTCCATGCCCACCCTGCAACTGGGCCTCAGCCTGGACCTGGACCGGAAAGCGGAGCTCACCCCCTATAGCAGAACCTAGGGTTTACCTGGACCAGCTACCCAGGGTGAGAACTACAGTTGCCTTGCCTGCAGTAGGATTTTAACACATTAGAAAAGCCCTGCTTGCCCTAGGGGAGGACAAGGCCACAATTAGCAAGACGACGGTCCCTCCCACAAACCGCCCACAATCCAAGAGGGCAACAGGTGGATACAAACAAAGCAGGCAGGGAGCTCATGAGACCAGTGTGAAAAGCCATGGTTCCAGCACAGCAGCTGCCTAGCCACGCTCCAAGTTTTCCAAGGCATCATGGCACAGGCAAGTTTTAAGGGGGAAATCTGGAGCAGCCTATTGTAAAACCCGCAAATTTCAGTTTACAGGGAGCATCTCCCATGCATAAGTGTGAAGGGGCTTCTGGGTCACTGTGACAATGAACAAGTAAGGCCGGGTTGGAGGACTCTAAGAGATGAGTAGCCAGGGCAAAGATACGTTGTGAAGGGCCTTAAAAGTTAAAACTGAGAAGTAAAAGCTTTCCAACCTGTTTTATCGCTGCTCAAGCTGTTTGCTAATGGAACGCAACGTAGGCCTGTCAGCATCGCCCCCCGGTTTCCAAAGTCACAGCAGAGGCATAAATCTGCTCTCGGATTTGACATGTGTTTCACCCACTAATTATATTTGACATTATAGCTAAATTGCACTAAAACCCCCCTGGTGCAAACAGTGCTGTGGGGGGGGGGGGGGAAGACAGTGCTACAAGAAAAGGTATTTACAGGCAATTTAACCCCTTGGGGGTGGCTTAACTCCTGGCATGTCTAAGTCCTCAACAATATTAACATACCCAACATTTAAAAATCGCGTCTGTGTCTCAGGAGACACGTTGGGACTTCTGAGAGCAATTTCAGTGAGACAGGAACACAGGCACTGCCATGCGGCATCGGACCCACGGTCCATTTAGCTCAGTATCCTGCCTCTGGCAGTGGCCAGCACCAGCTGCTTCAGATGAAGGTGCAAGAACCCTGCAATAGCAGATGTGGGATAAACTGCCTCCATATTAAGTCTCATCCTGATCTCTAGTAGTTAGAGGTTGGCTTAAGCCCTTGAACCATTAGGTTTAATATCCCCTCCAGAACGCTTGTTAGCAGGAACTAAATGAGTATTGAGAATATTCAAAGTTAGGTGTCCAATCACTTTTTGAATCTTGCTAAGTTTTTGGCCTCAACGACATCCTGTGGCAGGGAGTTCCACAGTCAAATTACACACTGCATGAAAAAAAAGTATTTCTTTTTACCAATTTTGAATACTTCACCCTTTAACTTCACTAAATGTCCCTTTGTTCTTGCACTGTAAGACAGGGAGAACAGAGGCTCCCAATCTACCTTCTCTAGCCCATTCATTGTTTTATATACTTTTATCGTGTCCCCGATTTCTCGCTTTTCAATACTCTAACACTGGATAATCTTGCTCTCTATATAAATGCACACTTTGGGGGATCGGGGGGAGAGGGAGTGCATGTGAAGTGCTCTTATCAGAGAAATGCTATTGGTGACAAAAATAAAAGCAGTTGTTATAAATATCTCTTTATTATACTAGGAAATGCCCTTCCTGTTTTACATCCCAGCAGATATTTGAGACATGGAAATTTTATATAAACGTTCACCATGATGAACAAATAGGAACATTTATGAACAATTCATCTCACCTTGAGATGATTTTGGAGAAGGTATAAAGAGGGGGTGTCTAGGTCTATAGAAAATATTATCCCTTTTCAAGGGCTGCAATGCTTCTATGAATGAGATGTGTACCAGATTAACAGGATTTGAGATATTCCTCAAGAATTTTCTTCCCCTGAACAGCTTTATAAGCAGAAAGGGTTACAGATATGGTACAGGAGGCCTAACAAGAGCTCTTGATGGTCTTAGATAGTCCATTTCTCTGTACGTGCCTCCACTGATCTGACCAGACCTTCTCCCAGGATCTCAAAGTCTTCTAGGATGGCTTCCACATTGGGAACGGTGACTAGCTCCTCACAGCTTAGAGATGCCATCATTCTTCCTTTCATGTTGGATGCCTGTAATACACATGCATATGAGTTGGGCTAACTGACATCTATGCTGTATTCTTCTCCGGAAGTTAAATCTCTAATGCAACCCCTACCCACTCCTACCCTCCCGCAGTGAGCCCAACATGACAAGTAAATGCTGCCACTGTCCGGTCTCACCACTTCTCTTCCAATCCTGTCCCCTTTTGCTAGCACTACGTTCACTTTTAACAGCGCCTGTTACAGTCAAATGAGCTTCAAAATACACCTTGTAAACCAGAAGGCTGCAAAAGCGCCCCCTTCAGAGCATACACAACCAAGCAGCCCGCCCATAGAGCAACGATGCCACTTCCAATCACAATTACCCCTTATATGTGCGCGCTGAACACTGGAAAATTACTCACTGACCATCTTAGGAGGTGGGAACAGACGCAGGCAACCGATGCATAGAGGGTGTCTTAAAGGTCAACGGGTCAAAGACAACGTGTCTGATCTGCCTTTGCTTTGATCTGTTACTGGCAGTTAAGAACCCAATCCAGCAAGCTACTGTAAGCATGGAATTATCTCACTGAAGTCAATAGAGCTATTCAGATGTGTAAAGCTAGGCATGGGCTTGGGGGCATCATCTCATTTCATGGCAATGAATGACTAGATTTCAAAGCAGCAGCGCTGCAGGGCAGCAAGTGCCCCAGGCGCAGAGAGAGGAGCTACACGTGGTCCGAGGGACGGCAGAACAGGCAGGGTTGCCAGAAGAATTGTGGGCCATTAATCACAAGTTTCTTTGCGTCTTTGAGGAGTTCCTCGTATAAAGCAGCATGAATCACATCCACGCCTGTGCATCAGACCCACCTTTACCATCCCCCAGGGACTCTCCAAGCCACACCTTTGCTCCCAAATAGCTTTGCACATTAAACTGCGTGGCACAAACTCAGCATGAGCTTTGGGGTCCCAGTGCTGCCGTCCTGGACACCTACTGGTCAGTGGGAGCTACAGACACTTGGCACTTCTGAAAAATCAGGCCCGGGGGTGTCAAACTGGGCAGCCAAAAAACACAGGCTTCCTTTGAAAGTGGGGCTCTTTGCCTCAGTTTCCCTGTCAATGGAGACAGCACTCACCTACTCTCCAGGAGGGCTAAGGAGGGTGTGTGTGTTAGTGTTGGTCAAAGGATGTATGTATTGGGGGGGTATTATTGCCTAGTGGATAGAGCTCTGGACTGGAATTCAGGAGACCTGGATTCTGTTCCCGATTCGGCCATTGGCTGGATGGCCTTGGGCAAGTCACTTTACCTCTCTGTGCCTCAGTTTCCCCGAGTGTGAGATGAGAGGATACTGACCGCCTTTGTAAAGCGTTTTGAGATCTGTTCTGAGACACTAGGTGACACTATTGTTATTACAATCCCCCTCCAAACTTCCCACAGCACCGCAACAAACAACAAGAAACTAAAAGCAGAGGGTCAAAAACTCACCTTGAAAGGCTGGGGCTCGAAACTGGAGGGTTTCCACAAAACTCCAATCACCTCCCCGCCGTGCGAGTCATAGAAGAACAAGGCCAGGTCTCCAAAGGCCTCCTGGAAGAGGATTTGAAAGGGAGTCATGTCAGGCGTCACAAATCACACATCACAAATCCTGTGTAATGCTCCCCAGGAGGGAGACACACCAAGGACACTGGCTCACGGCCAAGTAGGATCCGGTGAAAGATTCTTAGAAGTGCAAATTCTACAACTGTTCCATGGATCGCCACATCCCAACTTCAGTTAAAATGACCTGCTCTCCAAGGGCTGGCCACCGGGCTCCCCACCACCCGTCCCGCAACAGAACCATACCAACTCCAATGCACTGGAACTTGTCATGCAGGAGGGGGGCGAGCTCTGTCAGCCACCGACTCTGCCGTAATAAATGTCACTATGAGGCAGCAACACCAGGGAAACCACTACAATAGGTAACAGCTCCCTGCAGCGTAGGGAAGGAAGAGGGAACTGCATCCAGCAAGCAGCTCCCAACAATCAGCGTTTTCCTTTTGCTTCCCACAGCAGCATAAGGTCAATATAAGAGGTGCTTAGCGCCACGGTGAAAGATCAATAAGAGACTTCAACCTGTCCCAGAATCTCCCCTCTAAACTAAGTCCTATCTCCCACTCTCTGGGCTGGACATAAATGGAGCAGACTGCACATTTAATAGAGAGGTGCAGTCCACAGAGAGTACAGTTCCCAGCAGGTCGTGCTCCCCTGGATCGGAGGGAGGACCATATTGCAGAACCATATGGTTTGCAATTAGCCTGCGTGCCATGCACTGGCCCTTCCTTGCTACCAAGTTCCTGCTCTAGTGAGGCTAACTCCTTCAGGATGAGAAACTTCTTTCTGCTGCAGGTCGCTCTTGAAAGTGGGGCGGGGAAGCCAGCTCATCAATGGACACAAATCAGACATCAAGAATGAGAACATTCAAAAACCAATAGGAGAACACTTCAACCTCCCTGGTCACTCAATAACAGACCTAAAAGTGGCGATTCTTCAACAACAAAAACTTCAAAAACAGACTCCAACGAGAAACTGCAGAACTGGAATTAATTTGCAAACTGGACACCATTAAATTAGGCTTGAATAAAGACTAGGAGTGGATGAGTCATTACACAAACTAAACGATTTCCCCCATGCTAATTTCCCCCCTACTGTTACTCACACCTTCTTGTCAACTGTTTGAAATGGGCCATCCTGATTATCACTACAAACGTTTTTTTTTCTCCTAATAGTCCACCTTATTCGATTAGTCTCATTAGAGTTGGTATGGCAACACCCATTTTTTCATGTTCTCTGTGTGTGTAGATATACACTTGTACCCCGATATAACATGAATTCAGATATAACGCGGTAGAGCAGTGCTCCGGGGTGGCGGGGCTGCGCACTCCCGCGGATCAAAGCAAGTTTGATATAACGCGGTAAGATTCTTTGGCTCCCGAGGACAGCGTTATATTAGGGTAGAGGGA